CAGTGTAAACATAGAATCTATGTTATTGTACATATAAGAATTTCATAAGCGTTACATTGCATATATCGCATGTGTTGAGCGTCAAAAACGAAATTGTTGCGTCTGCTACGTCACTGGTGCTCGTGAAAACGGAGAAAACAACGGAGAATAGTATCATAGATTGCTTCGCAAAATTGCAATAAAATATTTTTTTTAAAAGGCGTTTAAATTACAGTAATAATAAGACATAAAAATGAAGTGCGCTGTCTGGAACTGTTATAATTATACCAGAAAATCCAAACAATGTTCGTTTTTCAGCTTTCCTAAAGATCAATATCTTTTGCAAAAGTGGTTAAATTTTTGCCAGTCGCCAAAACAATTTAATGAAAATACTTGGAGAATGTGCAGTGATCATTTCCAAAAAGAAGATATTCATGTGAGCATAAGATATCAAATGGGTAAGAAAGACAAGTGGTTTTGGTTATATTATATATTAATTAAACATTCTGAAATAATAGGATTAAGTAGAATGCAGCGTTTAAAATATGGAGCTATACCATGTTTCAAAAAAGATTTTGATTTGAAGGCACAACAGCGTCTGAAAAGACTACAAGAGAGAAATGGTGAAAAGATAGTTACCGAACGTCTGAGATATGATGATAATGTAGAAATCCGGTTTGAAAATGAATCATATCAATCGAATGGTGTATCGAATGGAATTGCATTTAAAACAGTAATTCAAATGAATGAAAGTGATACGGAGAACGAATTTGATGTTGAAAAAATAATTGAAGTATCTGAAGCTGAAGCACATGAAATTATGGAAGATAATGAATTTATTTCGGATGTTGAAATGTTATTGAATGAAACTGAATCAAATGCAAACGAATCGAACAATGTGATTCAGGCCAATAAGATTGAATCCAACATATTGATTCAAATTCGTGTAGTGGGGCAAACTGATCAGTTTACTCAAATCGATGAAAATGAATTCGGTAAAGTAATTCCAGGTTCTTCTGATTCAGAGAAAATAGCTTCAATAAATCCAATAGATCCAATAAAAACAGAATTAAACCAAGTAGGTGAAATCGATGAAATTCAAATTAAGTTATGGGTTCCATCAGATAAAGTCATTGAAGTTGATGAAACTGAATTAGTTGAACTTATTCAGAAGAATAATATTCAAGCAAACAAAGTCGAAATTGAATTGGTGGTAGAAAACGATAAAAAGACACAAGTTAACCTCGAAGATTTTCAGCAAAATAAACATGAAGGTAAGTAAAATGTATATTAGATTAAGATCTTAATCAATAGAAATTATCTTCATAATCTAGAACATGTCTGTATATATTCATATTGATATTCGCTAATAAAATAACATATCTGACTTTAAGTAAAACTAAGCAGTTAGGCTTAATTTACATTGTCGTCTTTACAGTAAAATATTTTCCAAAAATTAGCATAACTATTTGATCAGTGACGTCATGTTCGCTAAGAGTTATGTCTAGTTATATATTTTACATCACTTTTCATATCTTGTATTAATGATAGTTCATTGCAAATAGTTTACAATTTGAAGAAAGCTTTTTCTGGCTCGAAGAACTTTCTCTCACATATTTGAATACGAAAGAGAAAGCGAACATTTACTTTAGTGAAAATTTTATAGCTGAGAAAGACTTTTACCTGAATATATTTTCAAAGCACAATAAATCAAATAATTTTTGTTAAAAAAAATCAAATAATTTTTGTATAGAAAAAATCAAAAAATTTTTTTGGTGGTTTAGAAATCAATATGATTTAGTTATCTCTGCTGTAATTAACGAAAATCTAATATAATCTATTAAACAAATACATAAGTAATAAGTAAGTACTTCCTTAAAGAATAATTATGTATTTTTTTTTAATAATAAATGCGTATCATTTAGTTAATAATTAATTTTTTTTAAATCTTTTTTCATAGTGTTAACTTCTAAAAGACTTATGAAATCACTTCGAAATGATTTTCAAATGGAATTTAATAAGTACTTTAAATTAGAAACAGAAAGACCCTATAAATCATCTTGTCCACATTTCAACTCACGTTTAATTTCAACAGAACACATCGTGGTACAACAATCAGATGATAAATCGTCACAAATTAAAGCTGAATTTTCTGATGTTGATGTTTCAGAAAATTCCTCTAATTCTATGATCCAATCTACTACAACAAGTCAACCCGAGAGTGATGAAATGAATTATAATAGTTTAAATACAAGTCAAATGTACTTGGATAAAATTGACGATAGCGATGAATCCGTTGATATCATAAATCAGATTCTAATGCAATTGGATAATAACAGTGATATCATTAGTGGTATAGATCTCGATCCTTTATATCCTTTAACGGTATAATATTATTATTTATAATATTCTAACATTTTCTAACATAAAATATTCCATATCAAAAAGCATTAATAATAATACATATGTTCCTTATTTATTTCATTTTAATTATTTTAACAATTGATTTTTTAAAAAAAGTTTATGTAAGCTATCGGAATAAATTATGTGAAATTAAAAATTTAAATCCCAAAATCTAATTTATTGTGGTTAGAAATTTTATATATATCATGTGACGTTTATATATATTAAAAATATTCCATATCAAAAAGCATTAATAATAATAATACATATGTTCCTTATTTATTTCATTTTAATTATTGTCATAGTAATAATAATAATTGATTTTTTAAACAAAGTATATAAGCTATCGGAATAAATTATTTAAAGTTAAAAATTTAAATCACAATATCTAATTTATTGTGGTTAGAAATTTGGTATATATCATGTGACGTTTATATATATATTAAAAATATTCCATATCAAAAAGCATTAATAATAATATATAAGTTCAGTATTTATTTCATTTTACTAATTTTCCTTATAGATTTTTTTAACAAAATTTACAGTTTAAGCTAACAATTATTAATTACAAAATTTAATTTATTATGGTTAGAAATTTTATATATATAATTTAACGTTTATGAAAAACATTCCATATTAAAAAGTATAAATTAATGATCATTCTATTAATTTGAATATTTTTATTTTAAAATGATTATTGTTAATCATATACGGATATTTAAATATAGTTTACGATGATTTGTTTTACAAAAAATTAGAACATCTTTCTCATTTCCTCCCTTTCCGTCAAGATATTAGTCTTTGTTTTCACCAGTGTGGAAAAGTTTATTGTAGTTACAAGGTTTGCTTTTGGCATTGGACACTAAAAATCATGGTAAACAGAAAATATATGCCACGGAATGGAAGCCGTGAATTTTGTGTATTACCATCACAACAAACCATACCTTTTTATCACAGCTCTAAATTATTTAAATATATTTTTATAAAGAGGTTTTTCGAACAGTAGTGAACTACAACAACAAAAATTATTTTTTTATATTATTTTAATTAATTGAATTTTTGGCTAACCATACATCTGTTTCGAGTATTACCAAATACCCATCATCAGTGGTCTTGGAAATAATTCTTGTATTTAATTATTCGTAAATAATTATTTTTGAGACTTCAAGTACCAGGAATTGAACTCGGATCCTACCAAATGTGAAGCTCAGAGTCAGCGCACCTTAACCAACTGATCCAAAACCGTACTTGACTTTTTTGTTCGCATATTTTTCTGGAGTTTTTGAATTGACATGTATATATATATTTTTATATATAAATAATATATATATAATTTGTTATATTACATATAAAGTAAATATTAAATCAAAATATTACATAAATTATATATGACAAAGAGGTTTCAAAAAGTAGTAAGCTACAACAACAAAAATTCTTTTTATATTATTTTAATTAATTGAGTTTTTAGTTGACCATACAGCTATTTCGAGTGAATTATATTATATTATATATAATTATATAGAAATGATTAAATAATTTATTTTACATCTAAATAATTTGTTAAGTTATCTAATACTTTTTTCGTCAATATGATATATCTAATTTTACTTCATTCAGTTTCTTCAGTTGTCACATACTTAGTTTTAAGGATGTGTCTTATTAGATATAACATTAAGTAACTGGTTAAACGATAAAGATTTTTGAAGTAGAAATTTATTTTTATTGAATAAAACTGAAAATTTCAAATGAATGCATAAATTGAAAAGAACTAAAAAATGCTAAAAGTTAACATGGTCGTCATAAGTAGCTATCAGTACCTTAACGTTAATACAGCAGCTTAAGCATTGTTTGTCACCTAAGCTGTTAACCTAATGACAATGCTGGTTGGATGCCTGAAGCATCTACAGCAACGCAGCACCGGAGCAACATTTGTATGCTTTATGCCGGATGATTGAGTGAGTTGCCAGAGTAGCAGTATCAACAGCAGAAGCTGGAGTTGCAGGAGTAACAGTAGAAAAGCAACAACATTTGTTTCAGATACTTTGACAAAAACTGTTGCTATCTACGTTGCTCTTACTCCTGGTGATACTTTCACTGTGGAGCTATTTGTACATATTGCAGTGCTGAGTTACGATAAGAACAAAAGAAGGCAAAAATCACTGCAGCAGTTTAACAGGACTTAAGTAAAGCTAACACAATAAAGTTGACAGCAGCTAAAACGACGTTTTGCAGGAAGTAGTGCGCAGGTAAAAAGAGTTTCCCAAAAAAACTATCACAAAACCTGGAAAATGTGAAGTAAGAAACTAAATGCATTACAGTTTGCGTAAACACGGACACAAGTTCTAGCAAATTTGAAAATTTTTAAGGCATATTGTTCCACTTTAACAACCCAACAACATCACAAATGAGTCGAATACACAAATGTGACGGATGGACCACATGATGGCTTAGAATAAGTAGTGCAAGTGCGGTAATTAATGAGCTACCGTCTTTATGTGATGTTGGAAATTTCAGAATTTGCTTGTAAGTTCTGTTGTTTTATATATATCTTTTACGTATCTACATATCTTACATTTCTTTTTACTATTTTCAGTATTACAATTAATTTGTTTACTTACAATGTATGAAGAGGGGTATCCTTTTCGAAACCGATGGTGGCACACCGTTTGATGCAATGCAGAGATATGAACCCATTTCATTGCGAGATATCTTTGTTAATTTTAAAACTTCGCCACGATACGATGAAACTGTAAATATGTTAGAGGAAAGAAATTATTTTTTTTAAATTAATGTAGGTTATACATTAGGATACTTTTTAGAGAAAGAAGACGTATATATAAAGAATATATTAATTAGTATAAATTTAAATATTTACCTAAGGTTTTTGTGCCCGTACTATCCTTTAGTACGATCTCATTACCATCTTCACGTCGCCATGTTACTATTGGATCAGGATAACCACGTGCACTGCAAATATATTAAATATATTTTAATTACCAGTGTATGTTTTATTTTAGTAATTAGTGAAAAAAAACTAATAGAAAAATTTAGATTACACTGCGAAGAAAAGCGCAGAAGAAATTTAATATTGTATATGTTTAAAAATCTTATTTTGCCTATTATGAATTAGCGACACTTTAAGAAACAGTTAAAGCACTTCAACTTGTAATATTTTTTAATTAATTTTTAAATTTAATTTAAAAATAATTTTAAAATAATTTTATTTTTTTTCGTTTTTTAATATATTCGGCCTTACTATATTGGTAATTAAATTTTATCTTTATCATACTAATTTTTTAACATAAGGAAATGAAGGCGGAATCAGCAATCTCCTTCTGTATATATTGATTTTTTAAGGACAAAGTTTGGAGAAATGAACTGATTGACACCAATATACCATATATAAGTCCTTGAGCACTTAGTGTTTCCAGTGGCAGAGACATGGTTGATAGAATTGAACTATTGAGAGTAGTGTTTGGAGAAAAGACAAAGTTTGGAGAAATAAACTGATTGCCACCAATATATCATATATAAGTCCTCGAGCCCTTAGGAATTCCAGTGCCAGAGACATAGTTGATTGAATTAAAAATTGCGAGTTCTTGTTGTTGCTAAGGTCATTACTTGTTAAGATTCTTTCAGTGTTTTTTTGGTTTAATATTAAAGAATAGTTTTTCTGAGTTTTTGCTTTCTTAGGCTTGAATTCTTTGTCTTCCTTATAACAGTTATGATAACTTTTTGTTTAGTTATGAACCCAAGTTCGTGTCATTGCATCATTTCCAAACCGCTCAATGATGATTCTGGTAACGACGAATACGAGTTCTAAATGCTTTTTTATTCTATGTGTGTGGTACTTTCTATTATGGTCGTTATCCACCAAACTCATCTTGTATTCTTAGAACTTAGTGTACTGTTAATGTATCGATCATTATTATTAAAGTTTCTCAAGTTCTGCTTAGCTTTTGCAAATGTTAACATTTTTTAACAATTCATAGAATTTTGATAAAAATATACACTAGATTGCACAAAATTTGAAACCTTTCTGTTGAGATAGTTTTTGTTGATTTTTAGATGCTATAATTTCACTTTGAATTTGACATTGAATTCGATTGAATTTCGAGTTGTAAATAGTCTGTGTATTTGGTTTAAACAACACAACAGATCGTTAAGAATACATATACATAATCGCTTTCTTCATTTTTTTTTTTTTGTAATCCCATAACGCAAAGAGCTTTCCTTTCCTTCAATATGCTTCGGAAACAGATGGCATGATCTGGTATTAGTTCCTCATCGGCTTTTTTGTCGGTACTGTGTTTTCTTCTCTTAGCTGCTTTTTAAGATGCGAAAACTTCATACGTGGATTGACATGCTTTCCAGTTGCACTAGCAATATGTTCGACTAATGTTAAGGCACTTACTTTCGGATTTTTGTTAACTTCTTTTAAAACCAAACTGACATTCTTACGTGTGAGTTTCCTTGGGCGGCCACTGCAAGTCTTATTTTCAGTAGAACCAGTATTTTTATAATTTCTTATTATCGTCTGAACTGTTGATCGAGTCAAATTGACTAATTTTGATATTTTTACCATAAGGTGTTTTTTGCATTTCTATGCTTAATAACCAGATTTCGCATATCACTTAAAATTTCTTTTCGTGGACCCATCGTGTCAATTAAATACCACTCACAAAGCACAACTAAGTACATTATATAAGTGTATGACTCATGGCACAAGCAAGAAATATGAAAAACGGTACTTTCCCGTTTAACATTTAAATTACTGTCGACTAAATGTAACAATCAATGAAGTGTATGTAGACTTTTGTCAATGATTTTTTTAGGTTTTTTTCGAATAATTTCGTTAATTTATATTGATGAATGAATTTTCTTTTGTTTATTATTATTAAAAAACAGTTCTAAACAAAACTGTATCATTACTTTTTTCTATTATATCTTTGGATTTACGAGCTAGCAGAAATGGGGGGTGTATGTAGAGTTTTGTCGCTCACTGTAGTTATGAAAAAAAGATTTACAGTTTAAATATGTTGCTTTGATATATACATTAAGACCGAAAAGTTTTCGGAAATTCTCATTTAAAATTCGCGCGCTGTATATTTTTCGATATTTTAAGTTTATGTAGTTTGGCAGCACTGTCCTTAATTACTATGCCAAAAATGAGCGCGATCTGTCAGACAGTTCGTTTACGGCAGCTGTTGAAACCAGTTCACCTCAGTAGTGCGTTGCGAAAAAAACAATGGAAAAAAATATTGAACAAAGAGTTTGCATCAAATTTTGTGTTTCGAACGAAATTTCGTGTGCAGAATCGTTGCGAATGCTACAAAAGGCTTATGGGGAATCAGTTTTATCGAAAACTCAAGTTTATGAGTGGTACAAAGCCTTTCAGGACGGTCGTACGACCGTCGAAGACATTTCGCAACGCACTACTGAGGTGAACTGGTTTCAACAGCTGCCGTAAACGAACTGTCTGACAGATCGCGCTCATTTTTGGCATAGGAATTAAGGACAGTGCTGCCAAACTACATAAACTTAAAATATCGAAAAATATACAGCGCGCGAATTTTAAATGAGAATTTCCGAAAACTTTTCAGTCTTAATGTACTTATATATATTTGTTTAAAAACTTGTTAAATTTTTAACCGGTTTATTGAAAAGAAGGGAACGTTTTGTGCCGTTTATATCGCGATTGAAGCCAGAGTAAATTATAGGTCAACTGCTCTTATATTTAAATATACTTACATTGCAGAACGATTACGTAGTTTTTCAAAGGTAAATACTTTATTTAAAATATATAGCCTAAAGTGTTGAGACTACATAGGTACGTGCATATTTTTTCATTTGGTGAACTTATCATTCTTATCTTCCATTTGCTTATTTAGTGAAAATAGTGTAGATGCAATTCTTGCTTTCAGATTCTCTGTAGTTAAATTTTCTCTAAAAAAAAGCAAAAAATAAAACTTTGAAAACCTTCTCATCGTCATATTTTAGTGCAGCTTTTGTTTAATGTCAGTTAATGTATGCGACTTGACTATTTTCTTGAATTTTAAGAAAATGTCTGCTGCATAAAAATGAAATACGGAAACTACAATAAGTAGTTGGGCATGAACTCAGTTGCAGACAAAATCTGTTTGGCTGGACCATTTAAAGTGTCAGTGACTAGAGTGTTTCTAACATGTTTACATACTTCCCATAGTCAAATATTTTTACTACTTTTTACTATTTTTGTTTTTTTTATAAGAAAAGTTTTAAAGTGAACTGAATACGAAAAATAAAAATATAAATTTTATGTCAAAATTTAGTTTTTGTTTAAAACATATTTAAAATATGAATAATAAAATTATTAAATAAAATATATTATAAATAAATTTTTTTTTAAAAAAAAATATTATATACAAATTATATTTTTAATATCTTTGAATTCAATTATAAATAATATTTAACTCTTTAAAAATCTCCTAATGTAAATCTTTAATATGAAAGTTGAGTTTGGTAATTCGTATATTGCAACCAAATTTAAACAAAATTAGTGGCATCATTTTTTATGTTCCCTTAATTTCCAAAATGGAACAATAATGGTTAAAACCATAAATAAACTCTACATAGAGTTTGTGAAACCATTTGCCATACACGTATATGGCCAAATACATTCGAAAACCTTTTACTTGCATTTAAAGTAACCACAAAGCAGCACATTTTTCTTGATCTCATTGACCGTGGTTAAGTTGAGGGTTAATGATACTACTCAGTAAATCAAGATGAATGAAGTGTCGTTTAATTTGTTGACATTATTACTTATGCTGGTCTCCATCACTCCACCACTCCATTTACACAACAAAGTACTTTTTGTCTATTGTCGGCTAAGAGCTTAAACATCCGTTCACAGTGATAAACATGGACGTAACTTAATTGTATCCTGCATCTTAAGCGTGTGAAATTATTACTGTTTTTATGTCCTTTTAGTCTGGAAATTGTACAAAAATATTTACGTACCAAACCGTACCGGTTCGGACATGAAATTGAAATTATTATTGTTGTTTTTATATGGTTTTGTCTGCCAATTAAATTCTCATTTTGTGGTCTTACTTTATGGGTCACAAAACTGTCCATTGCAAAGAGTTTATTGCAGGAGTAGTAAAATATTTATTTAAAGAATATTTAAAATAGGCGAATAGTATCTGAGGAGTTTTTTAATATATATCTGAGTATATAAATATTTTTAAAACAAATTTATTTTATATATCATAATTTTATTATTTTTCTTCTTACTTACCGACATGTCAATTTTACAGAGCTTCCCTCAGGTACTACCACGTCTGAGGATGTCTCTTCCGCTACAAAATCAGGTGGAATTACAACGTCCAGAAAACCAATCTAATATATAGTTTTAAATGACAAAATTAGATTATATTATTTATTGATTAATGTAATATGAGTACTTTAACTATTTATAAATAATTAACAGCCGATTGATATATAATATTAAATAATTTGTTTATAAAATAATATAAACAATTATTTAATTAAACATACTATTAGAGTAGTAGTTTTAGAAAAATAATCTAATTAATTTATCATTGATATTATTATTCTTAACAGTGATTTCTATTTTTCATATTAAATTTAAATTTTTTTTAAATTACATTTGTTAAAAAAAACAAATAAATAAACCATTACATTTAGTGATGATTAAAAAAAATAAAAGTATTAAATCAGTTAAGCTCTGCAATGATATTCTTTCTGTACGCTAATGCATTCTTAAGGAAACCGATCATATTAACCTATTTATTGTAACTTATAATAATATACGTTCTGTACACTAGTGTGTTCTTAAGAAAAATGAACATATTGAACCATATTCTTACTGTCATCAAGAATATTTACGATAAGGGATAATTAAGGCTCAGTTGAAAGTTCAGTTAAGGCTCAGTTCATCGATACGTGCCGTATAAACTCAAGTCAAAGCTAAATACACAGATATGGTGGATTGTGCATTTCACTTTAGCTTAAGTTCGATAACCTGAACCTTGAGCCTTTAGAGTTATCCTCCCAAAATATAGCCAACTTTGCCTAACCAAACGATATTTTTACTCTTCAATTTCCTCCAACGAAAATATGCCCGTTTGATGTTCACCAAACTTATTTTCATTTAGTCAAATAAGGTAACAACTAGCTTTTATAATCCAACTTATTTTAATAATAATTAAATTGACTGAAACGAATGAAAAACAATCTGGAGATCCTATTTTAAAGTAATGTTTTCATAATTTCAAACTAGAAAAAGTTGGATGACGAGGGGAACGTTTTTTAGTTCTTGCTAATCGAGTTTACCATAACATTGTGATGATGCGTTAAGTATTTTGTACTGTCTGAAATAAGTTTTCCATTTTTGTGATGATGATGTGTTACATTTTTTGAACTTTTCTTACAGATAAAAAATTTATACATAGCGATTGAATTTAGTATATATATAGAAATATAACCATAAACAAATATACAACCCAAAACCACTTTTACCCTTAATAAATCTAGTTGTTATAATATTGGGATTAACATTTAAAGAAATTTCAAAATAAAAAATTATAAAATAATAAATTTTCTCTTTGCTCTATTCTTATCAATCTCTTGTATCTTTAATATAGAAGCCACGTATTTGATATTTTGTGTTCTAAGATATATTTTTGGACCATCATGTTGTTAATGATGATGTTGAATTAGTATATTAAAAATGAATATTACAATTTAGAACTAAAATTAAATTTAGATAAATAATTTAATTTTTTTTTTAAATGTTCATTAAAACAAGATAAAATTGGTGAAAAAATATAATGTTTACTACAATATAAAAAGAATCACTGAGACTATAGTAAATAATTCGACATATATGACTATGTAGGTAACCCGACATATACTCAGCAACGTGTGCCATTTTTCATACAAAACACATAAAATCTAAAAGTCTAGTCTAAGTGTAAACATAGTTTAAAATATCTTTTTGAATTAAGACTACTCAAATAGATATTTTAAATGTACAATAATAAATTAGTTAGTATAAAAGTAAAGATTGTGTGTTTGTGGGTATTATATTCTATAGGTAAAGTATTAATTAATAGATTTTAAATAGTTTAAGTTATTGAAATTTAATCTCTATATATATCACAAATTTGAATAATTGGGTGTGGTAAATTTAATAATAAAAATCCAAAACTTTAAAAATGAAATAAATGTGTGCTAAACTATTTCTACCATAAATCAACCGCATACCTACTATACCTTTAACTAATTTCTCATTCTATACCACTCTAAAACTCATTAAATCATTTATGACAGAATTTTTATATTTATCATCTAAGATATTATATTGCATTTATAATGCAATTTATTCAATTAGCTAAATTACGGCAAAATTCATGAGTCTTGTCTAAGAAGTAAATCCGTATTGCTCATTCTTGAATTGTCGTTAAAGTGAAATTACCTTTAAATAAACATCAGGACACTAACTCCAAGTAGTTGCAGAAATATCACACAAATTGTCCAAGACAAAGCACAGAATTTACGAGTTTTACCTTCGTAGAGACTAAACCACAAATTTTACTTCGATAATACGAAACACCGCAGTTGAGCGTGCTAACATATTTCTTTTATTATTGCACATATTTGTAGATACAAATTCACACACACACACACACACACACACACACGTTGACGCAAAGGCGAGATACTCATACACACTCATACAAACCGCAATAAAATGGCAGCTGACATGTCCGCTAGACTGTTTCCGTTGTTCACATATGGAAGGAGGATTGTTGCATGTGTGTTTGTGCAAATTTGATGCTCTGAAGATTTTCTTTATTTTGATTATTTTTGCCTGATTTTGCTTTAAAACAAAAATTCATTCAGTCGTGCATTTTCGTAGTACAAAGCAAAAATTTCATTCCATTATGGCTGTGAACTAAAATAAAAATTAAGGAAGCATGAAATACATTTTATTGGCGCCATAAACTTCACTTGGTTGGACACTGAAGTGTGTGAATAGCGAAAATGTGCATTAAAAGTAAGTGAGGGGTCTGAACCTATCATGTGCTGGGTCTGGGTCTGTGTATGCGCATCTGGTATTGCACATTTTCGCATACTTACAGCACATATCTTGTTAACACATTTTGTGCTATTGTGTGTTTTATGCTATGAGATACGTTCGATCTATAAGTTCGACACTTCGAAAATTACGTTACTCATGCGAGTGTATGGGATTTTTAAAGTGCAGATAAATATTATAATTCATGGTTTTGTTTGTTATATTCACATGAATTTGGTTATATACTGTAATAATACGTAAATAATATTATTTATCTATTTATATTTACTTTTAATTAATGCAAATAATTATGATTATAGTTACTTAAGAGGGATTAAAAGAATTATGGAGCAATATTTGTTTATATGCTATAATAATATTTAAGTTATTTTATTGTTACTTTTAAAAAATTAAAATTATAAATACTTAAGGAATATTATTATTCTATTCATTTTTATTTTTATATAGTTAAAATTATTATGATAATACTTGGTTAAGAACGACCAACAAAGTTTTTCTTAATATACACTTTTAAATTTTGTAGCAATACTAATAAATATTTGTAACTTATGTATTTTTATGATATAAAGATTATCTGAATCAATATTTTAACATATTTATAATAAAATTAAAGTGTATTTTTTACGAACGCTATTTTTGTATTTAGAAATTCACTTTTTGGAGATTGTACTGATCTGATTTTAATATATTGAAAATAAATTAAGAGAATATTTTTGGCAAACATTATTTTTATATTGAAAAAGTATCCGATTGAAGATCGCAATGATCAGACAAAGATCGGCAATCATGGTCAATTTTACTGTTCTAAAAATTGTTTACCACTACATTATAACATACATACTCGTATAATATATAATAATTTATTCATCATATATTGGACATTAAAAGTATGAGAGTCTGATTTTACAGCTAAAACTTCTCGGCTACCTGTTGTTTATACAAATATTTGCAGCTTATAAGCCTGATATCTCCAGACGACTATGCGGTTATACAGTAAAATGCAAAGAGTAACTAAATATATTTAAGTTAATAGGAATCTATTTTTAAACAAAGTTGTTTCTCAACTCAAACTCAACTCAGTCATCAGTAAAATTAAAACAAAAAACAAATAAAATAAAATGGACTCCAGTTGGCTTATAAATATTTATAGACAAAATCAAAAAGTCAATATGAAACCGACTAAGAGAACAACGAAGTCTAATCAGAAAATAAAGATATCAATAATAAATAATAAATAAATAATAAATAAATAAAACTGTTCGATTGGCTTTATAATTTCTATAGAGAAAATTAGTAACCTAACATTGAGCTGCCTAAGAAGACAATGAAATTTAATCAGAGAAGAAAGAGATCGAAGCATTAGAATACTAATAGAAGAAAGTAAAGTACATAGTTTTAGATAGCCGAAACCATGCATAATAAATAAAAAAAAGGCTCGATTGACTTAAAAATAATTTCTATAGAGAAAATTAACAACCAAACATTGAGCTGCCTAAGAAGATAACGAAATTTAATCAAAGAAGAAAGAGATCGAAGCATCAGAATATTTATAGAAGAAGTTAGGTTAGTTAGTATTGGATGGCCGACACCATGTAAAGACCTTATATGTTCGTTGCGATACTAAATTAGATATATCAGATTACGGTAATTAATCACAAAACAAATTGCTAAAAATATGCGCTTAATTTGCAAATTAAAACCTTTGTGAACGAATTCAGTCCCTTGAAGGTAGTTGCTCTAGATAATGTTGTTTAAGTTTTTAAGAGAGCCAAAAAAAAAGGAGATGTTACAGGATTGCTTTGATACCCGCTTCATTACTTTTCCCGCAAACATTACTGCTAGTGATATTTAAAAGAAACATAGATATAAATTGGAAAAGAAGTAATGCCAATATATAAGGTTCAAACAAGCTCAGGACATAGAAGGAAGTAAGATCTCTAGTGAAACTATATAGGTAAATCAATGAACAATACACAAATCATTATTTTAAAATTAAAATTATATAAGAAAAATGTATCTTTACAACAAATATGGAAAGTTTTCAGTGTCGACTATACGTTTAGGTAGCCAAAGGAGTAAAGACTTTCAGGGAACGCCTAACATGGTGCACTTAATTTTCTATCAAATACTACAAATTAAAAAACTAATTAATAAAGAAAAATATAAAGAAATAAGTTAAAAACCCTAATCAACATTTTAAATAATAACACAAAATTTTGAATTTTCTTGTAGACAACGTTAAAAAATCGACTAAAATCGATTTGTAGACAAAATCGATATAATATCGATATAATATCGATTTTCGTCTAAAATTATTCTTACTTTCTTTCATTACAATAGTTTTAATTGACTAGAAGTGTGTGTAATTACCTGACTTTTCATTGGATCAGTATTTAGTTGACACATATAACCACCCCGATCATCCTCCGTTACTGCTTTTATATGCAAATTCCATGTGTTTTGGTCTAAATGACTAACGCCGACACGTGGATTGTGTGTTATGACATTCTCATGTATTGCCTGAATGGCTTTCGTATCCGCTTTAAGCCAGCCAACCTAAATGTTGCAGCCATTTTATGAATGATAGTGGCATGCAACATGGAAGAGTAGCAAATAGTGAAAAAAAGAACATAAGTTAACATACCACAAAACAGTTGTTAAATTTTTGGAAACATTCTATTTCGAAGGAAATGCAGCAAAAATATTATTGAAAAATGGTAAATTATATATAGTATAATATATAAATATGTTTAAATGTGTATAGATTATGTGATATTTTGTGACAAGTGTTATTAATGTGATATATTTAACTATTTCAATAGCTCAAATAAAATTTAACATTTTTATTCAATACTGAAAATTGCATATTCGCAAGGTAGTGCTTAAATTTATAGCATTTTTGAAACTTACTCTATAGCCGCCTAAATGGCGTACTTGACAGGTAAATGTAGCATCACGACCCACAGCCACGGATACATTTGCAATGCCCTCAACAAATTCTGGTTGAAATGCAGTTGATTCTAAAATACAATAAATACTTTATGAAATTGTTTTCAGTTTTATGAGTTTAATTATTAAGTGTTTATTCATTAAATATTTAGGTATTAGTACTATTTCTATTTTACTTTTTAGAAGCTTATTATTATAAGAGTTTATTTGAGTATATAGGTACATAGAAATTATATTTTAAAGTGATTAAATTATATAAAAAAATTTAAATTAAGTAATATAATTTAATAAATGTTCTCAAGATAAGTATTTTCTCATTTAAATTGATATGAATTAATTTTTTTTTGTATTTTGAAACATTATATATACAATATTTACAATATTTTCCAGCACAGCAACTAGTCAAATTCAGGAATTCATGACTTTCAATTTTTTATATTTCAAAGTACTTTTTAGTAAATTCAAGCATGCATATGTTATCTTAAGTAAGGTAGGTAGCTACCCCATTCTCTATATATAACTGGCGCCACCAGGTTTTTAGGTAAGTAATGGTAAGAATGCAACAACTAATTTTATCTACTCGTTTTTTTAAGTTAGTAATTTTTTCTATGGATTAGTTAGTAAGTTTAAGTAGTGATCCGATCTATGATTTTAATTAGTATCATTTTGTTATTATATCATCGTTACCAACTGGTTATTAGATTTTTTTATATATACAAGACAGTTATATCCAGTCTGTTTGGTTAAGAAAACTCTAATATTATATACTATGTTGAGGCTAGTTGAGTTGAGTCAGTGCACCTGAGCATTTTTACTCTCTATTAACTGCGAGGTTTCTACAAAACCCCTCTATGCGCCTTACCTGGATTATTGTTTATCACTTCATTAGACTAAGCAATAATTGACCTCAGATCTGCATATCTCCCCGAGGAGCCTGTAACCATTCTGAGATTTGATAACGCGGTGTTAGTAAGTCTGTCAGATTTCGCAAATAATTTCAGGGCTTTATCATTTATGCATTTTTTGATGGGATCAATCTTGAGGTCCCTGAGGATATCATTCGTCCTAATGTACCAAGGAACTTTGAAAAGTCTTCTCAGAGCCTGGCTTTGTGCAATTTCTAACTGGTGAATAGTAGTCTTTGAAGCTTTGTTAAACGCTACACAACCATATAGAAGTGACGGACAAATTATTTGGTTATATATCAGTTTCCTGTTCTTAGCATTGAGGTTTTCATTTCTAAATAGCGGTTGGAGGTAATGAAGAATTTTGGCGCAGCTAATTCTTTTCAGTTGAACATTTTTAAGCCATGTGAATCATTTGTCCAACGTGATGCCGAGATATTTAACGCTATCCTCCCAGTTTATCACCATATCACCCACTCTCACTCACTCTTAATTATTAATAATAACTATTACTGATAGAAAGAGAGAGAGAGAGAGTGGTTCTCTCTCAAAGTTGCTACTGTCTGTCTCCAATGAATAAGAAAATTAAAATATTTTTTTCTTTATTTTGTTTTCAGTTATGATACAATGTCAATTGTGTGAAATTCTTATGTTGACTGGCTGCTCCCCAGAAAACCTGAAGATGTTGATGACTGCTGTTAGTTTATAAACATTCCTTCAATTTCTGTTTATCAGCAATAATAATTTTAAAGTCATTTTTGTTTTTTTTTTTGTTTTTATAAAATTACAATAATAATTTGCTGAAAATCTACGTAATTCAAACTGTCTTACATATCTCATAACACTTCTGTTGACAACAAATATAACAACTAGTTTTTAGTAAAATTCGATTTTATTCCTCAACATAGTTTTTTTCAATATATCTTTTGAAAACCGATTTATCTTTTCTCCAAAATATGTCTCAATTTCAACGATGACTTTAACATCCAAGGAGCCAAATATCTTTCTCTGTAGAATTTTTTTTGGTGTCTACGTACAGATAGTAGTCGCTAGGGGCCGAATCTGGCGATCCCGGTGAGTGCTAAAGTAATTCGAGATGTAATACATGGAATTTGCTATGGTAGTCAACGACTTGCTCCACGGCACATTGTTTTGTCTAACACACACCAGTTAGACCAGTTAGACACTACAAAATACGGACGTTATAACGTTGCCAACTGTCTGTTGCATATCTAGTCATTTTGGGCATGGTTTCTCGACTGCTGCCCACTAAGCCGACTGCTAATTTGAGTTTGGTTTGAAGTTGTGGATCCAAATTTCTTTCATTGATGCAAATTTACTTTTTATCTCGACTCAACTGTTTTCAGAATCATCTACACTTTGTTGTTTTTGTTGTATTTTTTCGCGAAGACCTTTATCATAGACAATTGTTTATACAAAACAAAACCGACATGTTCTCCTGAATGGTGTCAGTTATCTTCTACAAATACAATTTACGGTTTGCCAAAACGATTTCGTTAACCTGTTTAATGCTTTCTGGTGTCAATTACCTTAATTTTAAGCATAGGTTATTTGTTTTTTCAGTCTTTTCATATATATACATCACTGACATGAATAGTCGGTTAAGGTATATATATTAACTGATAATTTATTTTACAATTTTGGGATTAAACTATTAACAGTTATTATTTTAACCAGATTTTTCTTTCTTTTATAAAGTTAAGTTACGACAATATGACTCTTAACCACTACAAATAACAAAAAACATCCTACAAACGTTTTAAGTGATTGTTTCGTGGGAAAACAATCTACTTAATGATTTTAAATTAATGAATTAAAACTTTATTCGCACAGTTTTATTGTAGGCCTTGTTGCAACTCTTCAAAAATAAATAAATTCGTGTCGAAAGATAAGGAATGTATAATAGATTTCTACAAGAATTCAGGCCGTACGCATAGCAGATGTTTTTCATACCTGATTGCCTTTTCTTTTACTGCAGTAGCTACAGAAAATGCTTTTATAAAATAAATATGGAAGTGAAATACGTTAGTTAAAGATAAATATCATGTAAAACCATGTGCACCTACTTTTTAAAAATATAAAGTTTTTTTTTTATGGTTAATTTTAATACAAAAATATTCTCTTTTCTTTCATTTTTTAACAACTGACAATTTTTCATAAAATTATTATTACTTTGCAAATTACAATGCAACAAATATTCGAAAATGAATTTAAAACATTTTTTTGTTTATTTGTAAAATTTTCGATAATTTTCATAATAAAATTGTACTTATTCTGGAATTTTTCATATTTTCACAACACATCCTTTGGCATTACTTTTGTGGTGTATTTAAAAATAATTTAAAATGTTTACAATTTATGCAGCATATTTTCGCCAACGTGGGAATTTTCGCAAAGCATTTATCAGCTGCTTAAACAATAATAACAATGAATTCATTGCCCACCACTGACCACAGTTGGCTCAGTGCATCAGAACTGAGTAGTCGCATTACTGCACACATATTTGTGGCTGCCTCAATATATATTGTGGAACAGAATTTGCTGATTTTGGTGACAAGTGTGAATTCGGAATTCGTAGTTTGAAGACCGACGAAGTTTAGCTACAACAGCTTAAATCTCTGCAGGATTGCCTTGTACTTTGGTTGCTTTTATTGTGGGTTTAGTAAAAGATAAATGAAAACATTTCAAAAATACAACATCAAGCAACAAATGTTAAGACATTCGACCTTTTCATTATACGACATGTCTCAGATAAGCAGTACAAGTCTCAACAGAGTTCAGCAAGGATTATACTGACTTCATTGAAATTAACTGCACATAACAACTGCACAGTTTGGCACGAGTTACTTTCGAAGACAAATACTCGTAAACAGATTGACGAACAAGCAAACTAAGCATACAAAACGGAAATGTCCTTTTCTTAGCTGTTTAGTTAAGTGAGACAAATGATGCAATCCTTCCTTACAAGTGCATTAGAGCTACAAATATTTTAGACTGTACGGAAGTTGCTTAATATTTTTACTTACAGAATGTATACTCGTAAAATTAATTTAATAAAATTTAATACTTCAGTAAAAAAAATAATTATTTAGTTTATCTTATAAATTTTAAATTTATAAACTTAATATTTTTAATTTTTAAAGAGAGATTGTCATAGCTTGATCGGATTTTAATAAAAAAATGTCATATTAATTATAAAAGAGACCATTCTAATATTTTGAGATATTTTTAAATTAAAATATATCATATATATTACAACTTTTAAATAGATTCTAATAAAAAAAGAAATTAACAGGTTGCCAACAAAACAGAGCGCGATGACCATGGTACATTGTTTTCGGTAGTAATTACTCCTGCCAAACAAAGGACACTAATCACTTTAAATACAACTGAAATTGTCTACCATTCGAGAGTTTCTAATATCAGACGAAGGCAGGAGCTCCGAGTTTAGTATTTTTCTTCCGACCCAGATTAAAGCTGCATAATCGTAAAAAAATGTGATTCAAGGACTCAACTGCTCCAATCGGAGTTAATGTTCTGCATCCTTAGATAACCATATCTCTTTGAGGTAGTAACAGAAGCTGACGTGACCCACCAGAAAAACTGTCAACAGTCTGAGTAGTATTTTACCAGGAAGTGATACTTTACTATAGTTGTAAGGAAGTGATGTCGCGGTAATAGTAACTACTTTCGTTTACAATTTATTAATATAACTTTGTTAATAAAATAAAATATATAAATAGTAACTATATTCTAATTAATTAGGTACAGTGAAGAGAGAAACGAATAGTTAGCTAACCTAGACACTTTCTGAATTACTGTCCTATAAAGAGTAATAACAATAAATATACATATCAAATATATATATATATATATTTAATATGTTCATTACATTAAAAAATTATTCTGTACATTTAAAATTTAAATATTAATTTTTAACAAAATATTTTCAACATATTAATTCTATATTTAATATGGTATAATAAATTTTAAATATATAAATTAAGTGCAGTTTAATTAAAAAACAAATAATACAAATAAATTCTTTAAATTTTGTTTTTTAAATTTAAGCAATTTAAATTTAAATTATGCAGTATTCAATAATGTAGAAAAATTAAAAAACAAAGTAAGGATAAAGGATGATC